ATCAGATTTTGCTATTTTAAAGAGAGTCCTTTTATTACAAAACCGACTATATAGATTATGATATGAGTACTGTTTCAAACTCTGGTGACTGAAAGTAGTACTTTACGTTATTTCCAGTTTTTCAAAAAGCATACACATTTATTTAAAATTAAATTGATTCCTCTCTGTATTGCCTGTCATGAGCAAAACTTGCAAGTAAAATATGATCACTCCCACCAGAATGTTTTCTTTTAAATCAAGACTCTTTGACATTGCATTTTGATTTAAAATGTGTCTTAAATTTAAATAGATATGTTTAATTCTTGTTAAGATTAATCCTTGTTTTCTTTTATAAAGTACTAATTTTCTGCTTTTTATATACACACTGTTTGGGTTCATTTAGTGCAGAATTCTTTTTTCTACACAATTTCTTTCTATTAAAAAAATGTATAAAAATAATTTATTTCTTTAGTGCAGTTTTTGTCAGTCCCCCTTTAACTTTAAGTGTGCATCTTAATGAAAGTCCATATCCTTGGATATCACATGGCAGATACCTGTGTCTATATCATGGTTAGAAGTGTGAGGGAGGATATATGCAATTCAATAATAATATGCAATAAATAATTGTAAACATGTTTTATACATTCACTGTTATTTTTTCTCTTTTTCATATACTTTCCAATGGAACAGCATCGTCGGTGAGTGTTTTTTCTTTTCTCTTTACTGGCCTTAACATATTTTTTATAATTTAATTAATTTTGCAGCAGAAATTTTTAAACACCCTACATCATATTTTTATGCATGGGTTCGTATGCAGTATGGAAAAAGTCTGGAATTTAGAAAAGATATTCCAGACTTAAAAAGTGTGGAAAATAGATATTTTAAGGTTAGGTTAAAAAAAAGGTTAAAAGAATTTTATTTTGGAAGTAAAACTTTTCTAAGATGTCTGTATTTTTCGACTTATAAATTTGTAGTTTTAGTAGTTGTACTTCAATTTTTTTCTCTGCTACATTGCACAGATCGACACTGTGTATACTATAGGCTTATTCATTGTTTAGATCCAGTTTTTCTTTACCTTGTCCTAACCCTAATCTGATAACATTAGAAGATAATCATTTTGAATGTGCTGGCTATAGCTATCATTATATTGGAAGCACATTATCTGAAATTCTGAAAAGGGTGAGGGCTATCACCCTTTTATAGAATCATTTTTTTTTTCTATTTAGGGAAAATTGTACATCAATATTTTACCATCAACTGAATTTTTTTTAAATGAGTTATTTTCTTTCACCAATCCATTTCTATTTTGCCAAAAGCAAATTTATTTGAAGGACCATAGTATTTATGTATGAAACAGAGCCAAGCGCAGTTCTCTTATTTTATTCAACTTTGTGTACATTTTTGATACACGCAACCGTATAAAAAATCAGTGCACGCCTTTGTCGATTTGACGAGGCCTGCAATGTGCTTGCGGTTAAACAGGCAAGCTCAGCCTTGTTTTACCTGTCCATGCTGAGTTAACTTTTTTAGTTGAAAACAAACCCGCAATGTTGTTAGTTTGACATGTATTACAAATATGTAATGGGTTATTAAATGATTTATGTAGTAATAGTATAAAGCTACGAAAATAATAAGACTGTAAGCCTACTATAATTTGGTTATTGTGATTTATCGAAACGCTTTAAAAATCTGGGAATACTGTGAGGAAATAACTTCACCTGTAAAAAAAAAATTCCACTTCTTTCTATGACAGGCATTTACATCTTTGACTAATGATACCTTAGTTTTATTTATTATTTGCCTATGAGCTGAACAAAAAGACATCTACATGCATGCACAAATAGTCATGGGTTTTATAGGACCAGCTTGATGACTTTTACATTGTAATGACCCTAATCAATTTAATCATCTATCATACAGCTAACAGTTCTAGCAGTACTGACTGAATCCTTCTCCTTTATAGAAAGTAATGTAGTTCTGGATGCCACATTTAACAAAGAGATATAAATAAGTGGGTCTGCCAAACAAAACCTGAATTAATTACAATTTGGCTTTCCTGGAACTGTTCCTGACAAAATATTTAATTATTATTTCTTATTAATTGTAATAGAGAACCAACAAGAGCAGAATATTAAAGAGAATACTATTAAATAAACTGCCTTAAATGACATTCTTGAACTAATGAGTATTAATCTGTCAATTTCTAAAAAGGAAATGTAAGAGTAGTAAAGATGGGGCTTTGTTGGACAAACTACATCAATAGTTAACCTTAGGCCTCCTATGTAATTCATGGCAATGTAAACTCAAGGCTAATACCTAGAGCAAGTTTCACAAGTATGTATAAACATAGTTCAAGGCAAATATCCATCCCTTATGATGTTGACAGAGTGCTAGGACCATATCCATCTTTATTAAGCTATGTATGTGAACAGTTACAACTGCTCTTTAGTAGAAACTTTCCATGTAACTTACTACTTGATACTCTCAGCTGACTAGCCTTGTCTCCTGTGTACAGTTGCACACACCCTGATAATAACTAGAGATATACAAGCAGAGCGCTGTGCTGGGCTGGGTGGTGGTAGCATTTTCCTTGTTTGTGCGTCTCATTGCTGTGAATATTTCCCCATCTCTACAGGATATGGAGCACACAAGCTATCGTCTCCATAACAGTGAAGCAATTCCTGTTGAGACAGGGCTGCCAGCCGTGAACTAATTTCTTCATTAGTATTTTACTCATCATTTTTTTCCTTTGAATTAGCTTGTTCAACCGTGCTGAGCTTACTTCTGCCCATCTAACATTTGATTTCTTTCTAGCGCAAACCTCATATGAATAATAAATACATTTTCAAACCAAACAATAAAAAAAAATAGCAATGATTTAGAGTGCATTGATGATTGAGATTTCTTTCTGTCCACTTTCTGGGTGGGAATATTAAAGAAATGTTTTAAAAATTGATAATTGCTGCTTAGGTTCCATACCCCTGCTGCCTGAGTGTAATTTGCTAATCAGTGCCGGCGTCAGGTTATTTAGCGCCCTAGGCAAACGATTTTTTCCCCGGGCCCCCTATTATATATATAGTATATATAAACAATTTCAATTAGCTTTATCGGCACCCTTATTAGACTATTTAAAGAACAAGCAATAAATAAATACCGGGCCTGGCTGTTTTTGAAAATATTAAATTACCCTAACTCTAAACCTTACCTATATAACATCTAGATTTTTAAAAAAATATTCAACAAGACACGTGCTAATTCTAAACATTATCAACCGTTTCATCGACCTCTCACGTTTTCTTGTGAGCAGGAAGAAAAACTGGCACGGTCGAGGGGTCACTGAGTTCACATTGGTTTAAATAAGATATCGGTAGTGTAGGCCTATAGCATACGTCATACTACTCATAGCAAGAACAATGGACACCAGCGAGAAAAGTCTCAAAGGTAATTGAGAGGTGCATAAATTAATTTAAAAATCTTGCACGGCGTAGTTACAATTAATATGGTTATAAAATCCTGTCTGTCTGGTTTTTTTCGGACCTTACTAAAGATTGGACGTATTTGATGTTTTTAATATTTTCGGTAACTAAATAAAAATTAAAAAAAAAAAGCAAAAACAATTTGGTTTTCACGTGTAATGACGACATAAACAATGGCATCCTGCTATTGGATAGGTCGACATAAATTTTATTGTACACATTGTAAGCTAAAAATAGAAAACTAGGTCATGGGGTTTTAAATTTGCATTGTTATTTAAAAACTTGATCTGCAAAGTTTTGTAAACAAATAGACTCTAGTTATCGATCACTAAGTTACTGTACAGCCAATCAATATTTGTCTTACGAAAGTGAAACATCCGGTTATAACTTAGGCTTGATGAAAATAAATAGAAATGTAGCCTTAAACTCAACAAATTATTTTCAAGTTCTCTGGATTTGCAACTTTTATAGCATTTATTCTAAAAATATAAAATTTCTAAATTAATTTTAGGCTTAAGTTATTATTTTTTTTACGGTCTAAATCTACAAAGCACGTTTTTATTCCATGTCAACAACACTATGGAAGGAATCTCGTCAACTCGCTTGTCTCCATTCCTATTTGAGATTTTCCATTGTTGCCTTAGTCAATTTCATTAAAATAAAAAGTAGCATGTGTAACGTCGCCGATTGTCATCATTACGCTGATGCGTTTTGCGATAATATAAAATTGGTCTTACTTAAATTGTATTAGAACTGTGAAGAAATACTGAAAGCTACGGACAGTATTTATTTATTACAAAAATCTATGCTCTTCTTACGGAAAAAAAAAGTTTTGGGGTAGGCATCCCTGACTCACTAAGAAGAAACTTATTTAGATGATATATATCTATATGCACAACGATCCAGACCGGGAACTCACGTAGGCCTACAAGAAAAACAAAACTATATTAGCTAAACTTAAACCTGGAAGTAAATAATGGTGAGAATTGAATTTAAAAAAAAAATGTTTTGGGCGAAACTGTGTCTTTTGTTTATGGAGTGGGATTTGATTGTGAAGGAGTTGGTAAAAATTGTGTGAGTCACTGGGCTGCTGCCGCCTTAATCCACCACTGTTCTGAATCAATAATCATTCAAAATACTTTTTATTAACCATGATTGCCGCTTGACAGACCAGTCTCAAGTAATGCTTTACCAAATCCTATTGAGTATCGTACTCATTGTATTTCCGCCGGCCTCGCTATGCAGCCATTCCTTCCTGAACTGGTCTGCTCTCTCCGTCGCGTGTCACGTGTAGTTCTGCACGCTCACTGTGGAAAAATCGATTTTCATCTGGTATTCTGGCCACAAGTTGTTATGACATTAATCTTTGTTTATCGACAATTTATTTTCTTCTTCTATCTCATTTATGTAAATGGATTTATTTCAATTTGGCAATAAATATATATATACATTTATATACACACATTTTCGATGTATTGAAACGTATTCATTTTAAAAAACCCCACACTTCGTAGTATCGATACCGCCCACTTAGAATGAGCACAACATGTGTACTGTGTTGAATGAAAGCTTGCTAAATGATAGCGTCTGTAGGAAAACGGCTTTACATTTTGTGAATGAATTTGTTCTAACTTTAAGTTGATCTGTTGATGGATTAGAGTTTATCAGTTTCGTTTATATCCTTGTGTTAATCTGGCCGGAATTTATTCAAGTTTGGACACATTTTCCTTTATTTACATCCTTTCTTGTGTACTCCCGCTAGGCTAGACCGTGGAATGTGCTTTCGTAGTGTCAGTCGGCAGGCTGAGTAGTCACCCTTGTTGCATATTTTAAGGGGGCTGTCCATGCGTGACGTCACACACAACTTGGGGTATTAGGGGGGGGGGGGGGTCTGATCAGCTTTTTCACTAGTGGGAATGGTAGAAGACCTAGAATCTATGTACTATGTAGATCTAGAATTAGAATCTTATATGTGGTGTAAGAAATGGGACACAGTTTTTTTTTTTAAAAGGGGTGGGGGTAGATTTAGACTAGATCTACTCTCTCTATCACTATCATAGATCTAGTCATACTTCTTTAAAATAATAAATTGCCTTCATCTGACCTATTAATTAATTTAATAATAACAGTAGGCCTTATTAGCCTATAGTTATATATAGCCTAGTTATTGTATAGTAGCATTAAATCCCATTTATTAAAAATATATAGTCCTATATACTAGTGTATACTATATAGATCTAACTCTATCTTTTAAAAAAATAGTAGGGCCTAGATCTATATTTAATTCAGTTCAGCAATTGTTTCTTTTATCATTTCTGAGTTGTCGACATTAAATTAGTCCTAGAGAAATAAGAGCAGGAAATGCAAGGGATAACAACTTTTTAAAAAATGTGTTCTAAATCTATCTATCTATCTATATATATAAAAAGCAATGTATGTTTGTGTGTGTGTCCTTTATGCATTACTACACCTCTCATCACATCGCCGTGAAACTTTGGGAAGTTGTTGAGAATATTCCTGGGGAGGTTTCTGTGGAAAAAAAAATTTCAAATTCGCAGGGGTGGCGCCCCGACAGGGCGCGATTTGTTTTTTTCTTTATACGGTATATAAAAATAAAAGTCGATTTTGGTTTGGCATCTTCATCCGATAGCCATGAGACTTTGGGGAGTTCATTATACCACTTTAGGGAAGGGTTCTGTTAAAAAATAATTTTTAATTTCGCAAGGGCGGCGCCACGGGAGGGTCCGATTTTTCTCTATATACGGTATATAAAAATAATAAAAGTGAATTGCAGTGACACCGTTCATCCGATAGGCATGAAACTTTGGGGAGTTCATTATAAAACTCTAGGGAAGGGTTCTGTAAAAAAATCATTTTTAATTTCGCAAGGGCGGCGCCACGGGAGGGTGCGATTTTTCTCTATATATGGTATATTTTTTAAAAAGTCGATTTCGGTGTGACACCGTTATCCGATAGCCATCAGACTTTGGGGGAGTTGATTAGAACAATTCAGGGAAGGGTTCTGAAAAAAAAAATCCTTTTTTAAATTCACAAGGGCGGCGCCACTGGAGGCTGCAATTTTTCTCTATATACGGTTTATAAAAATAAAAGTCTATTTCGGTTTCACATCGTTCATCCGTGTACCATGAAACTTTGGGGGGATGATTAGATCACTTAATACACAGTATATAAAAAATAAAACTCAGATGAGGTTCATCCGAGTGCCATGAAACTTTAGGAAGTAGAATATTTCTGCGAAAAAGAAAACTGAAGTTTCTTATGGGCGGCGCCATATAGGGTACAACTTTCGTCAATACACGGTTTGGCGCCCAGAGTTTTAGAGCGACTATGTTGGCACTTGGCATCCGTTATTCGAGCGTCCTGCATAGCGAGTAAGCGGTACTACTATATTCAGCGGTAAAACTACAACAGTCTTCTAAAAATAACTTTGTAACGCGAGGAAATCCTTCTGTACAGTTTCGTCACTTTGCCAAATATGAAAAAATAACTTTTTGAATATGAGGAGCCTACTGTAGAGTTTCGTCACTTTGCGAATGATGCAATAAGCATCTACTATTAGACAATCCAGTCAGAAATTGAGATCGAGCATCTAATAATAGACCATTAGTAACGCTAGCATATTGCATCAGTCACACTGAAGTTTAAAACATGTCAAATACTTTTTTACGTGCTAAAGAAAAAAATCCTGTTCATTTGTGTCACTTTAGCGAATGATGAAATCTGCATCATTATTAACAAGATGCTATTTGGTACGATTGTGCCTATTACTTTTAAGGAGCCAGTGGTCGTACGCCGCGCCTATGCGGTACCGGTAGTGTAATCGGGGGTTGGGGGCCCTGAGAGCGACCCTGTACGTCTCTGACACATGGGCGGTCACCGAAGTGTGTTCTAACATATTATTTCAGTGAGTGATTAATGTACACTCAAAGTTTTCATGCGGTAGTGTAGGTAAACCCGTGTCCCGATATTTATGATCCAAGCGCAGTCATTGTTTACATTTAAATAACTCAATTTTAGAAAAGACTGTCACGCGTCTAAGAACATATGATTGGTAACGCGTTGGTGAAATCCTTCTAATAAATTTTGTCAAACTTTCTTCTATCCCTGCGGCAACGCGCGGGGGACGGGTACGCTAGTTATCTATAAATCAAAGCTACAATACTCTTTCATATTAGTATTACTGTGCACATGCATTTGCTAACTCTGCCTATGATAATAGATCTGAACCTACATTTAAAGAACTTTGTCAAAGTAGAAACTTTTCCCATCCTCCTTCCCCAAAACTTGAGAATGCTTAACATTAACCTTAAAATGTCACTACTTATGTGGTTTAATTACTTAGTTTATCTGTTAAAGTACTTAAGGAAATGTATTGTTGTGAAGAAGTCATTATTTGAAGCGAAGGACATAAACCTACACTTTTTATATATGGTGCTGCTGTACTGCAAGATCTGTACATTATTTGAAAAGATATATCAAATATATGTTCTACACATTAGTATATAAATAAAAGTCCTCACTACTGTTGGCTCTGTTTATGATTCGAAATAAACTGAACTAAATAGTAGTTTACTTTTTCACATGGATAAAGTTTTTAGCATTTGTAGAATTCAAAATGTTATGCACAATGGATGCTTATGTTAAACAGAAATATTTAGCAGGAGGTGTGATCAGTTATGAATGTTAAAGTTAAAGCATTGAGGAACTTGAACTAGGATCTCTACATGTAAAGCAGAGATACAAGTTAAATTCATTAATGCAGGATTTCTGCATGGACACACTAATTGCCCATGACCTACCTCAAAAGACTGTCCATGTCCCACCACAGTAGTCTGTTCATATCCTACCACAGTAGACTGTCCATATCCTACCACACTAGATTATGAGTGATTTTTTAGTAGATTCAAACAGCATTACATTAGCAACAGCATTTTAGTTTATACTAGACTACCAGTTATTCTTGAATAACCGTGGGTTTCGGGGTCACCCATAAATGATGGCTTGTTTGTTTGACGATTTTTAACTTTTCTCTTTCCACTGTCACACATCTTCACAAAAACCCAGACCCCACATTCAAAAAGATGTCACACCACAGACATGTTTTTGGGCTGTGCATGGGTCTGACTACACTATCCCTTCATATGCTGAGAAGACAAAAACAGGTGTACTTTACTTCACCTGCCCCGTGTCCCTATAGGCAAATTTATCATTCACATAACATGATGTGTCTCCAACCCGTACTACCCGCATGGTAACTATTACACTATCAACTAAGCTAGCTGGGCACTTCTGATTATGTGCATAGTTAGTGGGTGATATACTATATACTTAGATCTAGAGTCAGTGTAAGGATTTTGCTTTGCGCAAATAGGCCCTATTATTTCAAATTAAATTATACCCTATCCCAAATTAGCCAATTCCATAGCTAAACAAAGATTTTATATAAAATAATTAAGGCCTGAAATAGTTTGGTATAGAAACTCATTATTGGCATAGATTCTAGGTCTAGATTGATCTAGATTTCTCTATTTAGACTAGTAGAATCTACGCCTGCTAGTTTTTCCTTAGCTCTAGATAAATTCCTTGTATTCTCCAATTACATGATCTGTAAAGCTAAAAAACAAAGATTTATATCAAATATTTAAAGAATAAAATAGTTAAAAAAAGAAACGCAATTATTTATTGTGTTTTTATTATTGTTTTTATTTTTAGGTAATTATCTGTAGATCTAGAGAAATTTTTTGTTTACTTAAATTAGAAGAACTGTTGAAAATTGATAATAGTTTTGGAGCCTAATACACTAATATAAATAGCAAATAGGTAGCGTTAAAGCTATAGCCAACAGAAAATTTAGCTTTATAATGCGTTAAACTTTTAAATATGATCTTCCATGGAATAATCCATTCTTTTTGTTAAAAAAAATAAATGAATATTGTGACTTCACTATAAATAAAGTAATTGTTCTGAACTTTTATAATAAAAGTAAAAGTGGTGATTCTACTAAGAAATATATCAATAAATTAATTAACATCTTTAAATAAAATTTTGATTTACAGTTTGTTAAAAAAGAACAATATTGTCTACATAAATATGTATTTTACAGCACGCCAAACAGACAAACAAAAAATAAAACAAACTTGAGTTTTAGTAGTATATAGATTAGGGATACATTTAGTGTTAATCTAGGGCTTAGTATGTAATATGTTGGGGCTATGCTAAAGTTGTAGCTAGTAAAAATAGTAGCGATATACTGTAGGTGCGTATTACTTATATATATATATATATATATACATATATATATGCCTATTTAGCAAAATGTATAAATCATACTTTCTAAACAATTACATTTTGTAGGATAATAATTTCTTCACATTGGCTTCTAAATTTTACTAGAAATCATAAAAGTGTGTATGGCTGACATCTCTTTATTTGACTTTGTCTAGTTGACCCCTCTGTAATTTCCTTTATTGTGACTTTTGTGAAACACTTGTTCTGTGCCTTTGGATATGTCTGACCAAATAAGCAATTCGCGGGACCAAGTAACCGGTCCACCACGAGGCCCAGCTCCACCCCTGCCTGAGAAACCACCATCGGTGGCAGAAAGAACTAGACTTCTGCGTTCTAGCTTTAGGAAAGATGATTTAGAAAAACCTAAAGTTCCAGAGAAACCAGATAATCGCACACTTAACGGTCAAAAGCAGGAAGGTGGATCTGTTAATGGTGAGAGATCCCCATCTCCTCCATCCAATTCATCCTTCCATAAAACTGCAGACTCACCCACCTCAACAGATGGCAAGACCTCTACTATTGGTGGACAGCCTGTATGTATTTACTTGTCTTTCTCTTAATATGCATGTTATTTATACTTTAGACATTAGTATAAAATTAGTCCATTAGACTCTATAGATATTTATTGAACTAATTTTATTTTGATAGGTTGTAAAACTATGTACTTAAAAGATATGTATGAGAGGATATCGATGGTCTCGGTCGCAAACCGACTAACTCCGAAAATGTAAATTTTACAGCGGAGACAAAAAACTGATTATTTCATAGTTGATCGCTCTAATACAGTTTTTTAAAATCGATATGTGCGAAGAACCTCTCTGCCGACTATACAGTAGCGTTTTTAAATGGTTTTGTTGATATTTACAAAATTATAGCAGGTTTAAAAGATAGTCGGTTTTGCTCGGTCTAAAACTCACGCTGCCAAACTGTCTATCTCTGCGCTCGCAGACTTAGTTGTTTCGAACCGAGAATTTTGGTCTCAGCCACGTTCATTCGTTTTGTTCAATGAACGTGATTTAGTTATGTTTCTGTTTTTTTTATGCTAGAATTAACACTTTATAATATTTAGACTATAATTTAGGGCTCGTATTTTAATTATTTGAGTTTATTCTACTTTATGGGATTAGTTTAATTTTAGTAGAGATGTTTTAGAATGGCTTTATCTCTTTCGACTGTTTATTCATTATGGCTGTATTTAGCACTATACGTGTTAATTGTTGAAGGTTATGCTTTTTTTATTATGTTTCTATTCTCACAGTTTATTTTACTTAAACTGGTGGGTGCTGCATTTGCAGAATGATAATAGTAATAATACAAACCTTGCTGTCAGATATTATATGAACGAGACATAACACATTAACTATATTAATAATGACTAAAGGTTTACTTATTTCACAAAATGCAACCAAATAAAAATGTGTTTGTTTATTTATTCTTTAAATAAACATCGCACGAAGAAACATTAAAATGGCAATATGTTTATAAAAATGTGTATTTATGACTTGGTTTTAGGTGCTCATATGACAGCTTTTATCTTTTTTTGTGCCCATGTACAACTGGTCAGGGGCTACAGATGAGATCATAAGGCTGCTACCCTAGTTTAGCAGTTGCCAGCTTTCTGCTAATTCACTTTGAAGTAGATAGTAGCATCAACGTTGTACTGTAGTGCACGAATATCTGTCGTATTAAATTCTTAATAGGTCTGACTAGACTGTTGTAAAAGTTGGTGTCTTGTATGGTAAGATTGGTCAGTTGAGGGAGGCTGGTCTATTTCATTGTAAGACTTGTCTGTTGAGAGATTTCTGTCTTTTGCATGTTACAACTGGTATGTTAAGTGAGATTGGTGTCACGTTTAGTAAGATTGGTCAGTTTAGAAATGCTGGTGTCTTGTATGGTAAGATTGGTCAGTTTAGAAATGCTGGTGTCTTGTATGGTAAGATTGGTCAGTTTAGAAATGCTGGTGTCTTGTATGGTAAGATTGGTCAGTTGAGAGAGGCTGATCTGTTGTATGGTAAGACTGGTATGTTGCGAGAAGCTGGTCTGTTGTATGGTAAGATTGGTATGCTGAGAGAGTCTGGTATGTTGTATGGTAAGATTGGTATGTTGAGAGAGGCTGGTATGTTGAGAGAGGTTGGTCTATTGTATAATAATAATGGTCTGTTGAGAGAGGCTGGTCTGTTGAGAGAGGTTGGTCTATTGTATAATAATAATGGTCTGTTGAGAGAGGCTGGTCTGTTGAGAGAGGCTGGTCTGTTGAGAGAGGTTGGTCTATTGTATAATAATAATGGTCTGTTGAGAGAGAGGCTGGTATCTTGAATAAATAAAACTGATTTTTTATTTTGGTCAGTCAGACTGGAATCTTTTGTTTGACTAATAAAATTACATCATTTTGTTACTTGACAGCTTGAGATTGCTAGCTAAGTTTAAATAGCCTTCTCCCTCTGCTGTATGGTAGCATCTGTCAATACAATGTCATATAATGTGATTAAATAATTTCAATTTTGATCTGAAATCTAAACATGTAATACTCATCACTGTAGTAAGCTAATTGCTAAGCTCATGTTTTAATGCGTTATACTTATACATTGAAGCATGCTTATTATTTATTGAACTGAATAGCCATCTCAATAGTTGGCCATTAATATCAAAATTAATCATACAGGCATTTACTAAAGACAACTAAGCATGTTGTTTAACATGTACGCCAAACATTTTGTGACCTACCATATAAACATTTCTTAACACGTAGCTAAACCCTCAATATAAAGCTATTAGTGAATTAACAATAATTAAATTTATAGCACAAGCTTGTGGAAATATAATTCGAATAATATTGTTTTGATTGATCTCTAGATTTAGATTCTAGAATGAAGATCTAGTTTCAAAGCATTGTGTTAGCCTAATGAAAATGTAAACAAATCAGCTTGGTTCTCGAAAATCTACTGGAAATAGGCTAATTTAAACAAACGAGCCGACCCGCGGCATATCATCCGCCGCTATTTAGTTGATTTATTTTCTACTTTTCATTAATTCATAATTTGTGAATTCGACAGTACCAATGCTGCTTTAAAACACTATCAGTAGGTCGTTAAGGACGATACTACCCCCAACTCCTACCCCCCCCCCCCCCGTGACAGCAGCCTCCTCTTATTTACCTCCCCTCAGTTTAAAATCGTTTCAAACTAAATTATCTGCCCCTAATAGCCGTCACTAAACCCGGCTCTACGATTGCAAACATCTAGCGTGAACCACAGCTCGCCAGACCATGTGGGGGTGGTAGGGATATGCTTAGAGAGGAAGAGGGGGGACTGCAAGGCGCGCTTACAGCTTGGTGTTTTCTAGCGTCTCCAAGAAGAGCATTATATATATAGATATGATATAGTTAAACAAATACTCTATGTTTATTATTTTTTCAAATGATAAAATATAATAGAATAGATGAAATTAATCAAATATTCTTACCAATAATAAGTAATTTGACTGCTGTGGTGTAAAATTGTGTGATTGCAGCGTGCGACTGCGTTTCCGATCAAAGGTGTACTGACAAATATAGCGATGTTCGTTTTGCGCCGAGATTTTTAGCGCTAGAAATAATAGGCGGTTTGTTCAAATTATTATATCTAGATAATCATTCTACAGATTTCTATAATATTTTCAGGAATTATGGGGAATGATACTGGCTTTTGATTTATGTAAAAAACAGAAAATTGAATTTATTTGAGTTAGACGGTTTGCGACCGAGACCATCGATATGTAGCAAACTAATGTCATTGAAATGCATAAAGGATATTTAAAACATTTTTAAAAAACGGATTCACTTAAGTATGAACTTCAAATATGTGCCAATCAGCTTGTTAACTGGGCAAAATTGAACAAAATGAAAATTCACTCCGATAAAACCAGACTTTCTTCCAGACTTTTTTTCTGCTGGGGGGGGGGGGGGGGACGACGACACAATGGTAAAAGTATACATTTTCTTTATAAATTCCATTTCGTTCGGGAGGAGGGGGCGGTTGATTCAGAAACGCCATCGTCTTCCATCCACCCTAATACACATTACTATAAAAATACAAACATTAAACAGGTTAACAGTTACAAATGCTTAGGGTTGATAACAGATCACAACCTCATCTGGCCCGACAATATTCATCTTCTAAAAATGTCCCTATTAAAATAATAAAGCTTCTTTTGAACTAGCTAGCAAGGATACAAATTACGTTGACTGTTAATTAAAGAATAAAAGAGCAGGTTGGTTTTTTATGAATGAAGCATTTATTGAATCATAAGTTGGATTATGGTACTATTGCGTGGAGCGGTAGATTCATAAACAAACAGCGACCTCTATAATTAGGTATGTCAAGCTGCCGTAAAAAAAACGAATTTTTCGCCCGCGTCGCCCAAATATAGTAGCTTTTCTTTTCATAGTTTCGATAATAAAAAGGGCTCGTATAGTAATAAGCTTGGTACCATTAAAAAGTAGATTTTAAGCCCTCTAATTATGTGTAATTTTTATAGTTGTTGATATTAAACAATATATCTCATTTACCAATTGATAACTATTACCGAGATGATTTTTCGACGGCAGTCGAGTAACGGATTTTGACCCATCTCTCATTTAACTCGCGGGCCTTTTTTGACCGTTCAACATATTTCTTTACAAATACCTGTAAAATTTTCAGAATTGAATAAGCCTTTAGTTGGATATTAAACAAATAATAATCATTAAAAAAGTTTTTAAAAACCCACGTTTTCTGATTGAACTAAAAAGTAGAAAATAAATGCTATACATCACAATAATGCAAACGATCACTCTACTATAAGCGACGAAAAACGTGGGGCGCCGAAGTAAAAGTTATATTACTATTGATTAGATAATACTATTGACTTTTATTAGGGAGCTTGTAGAGAGTCAACAGTATTAGAAACTGTAAGAAAATCACGGCGCCCCACGTTTTTCATCGCTTATAGTAGAGTGATCGCTTGCATTATTGTGATGTATAGCATTTATTTTCTACTTTTAAGTTAAATCAGAAAACGTGGGTTTTTTTAAACTTTTTAAATGATTATTATTTTCTACTTTTTAGTCTTTGTCTGTTTGTTTGCATTAAAATCTTGCTATCGATTTTATCTTTTCACTTTTTTTTTTTGGGTAAACGAAGACAACTCGTAAAAAGACAACTCGTAAAAAACACGTTGTGTGAATACGTTACTGACTAGAACACATAGATTTGAACCCGTGTCGAGTGGGATAGCAATCGTGTGCCCAACCACTCGACCATATCGTCTCCCCCATACTGGCCACCAGTTGTTACGGTTGTTTGTACACAAATTACAGTTACTGAGCTATGTCCCTTTTTCCCCACGTTTTTACTACAACGAGCCGACCCGCGGCATATCATACGCCGCTATTTAGTTGATTTTCTACTTTTCAGTAATTCATAATTTGTGAATTCGATAGTACCAATGCTGCCACTGAAAATATTTGCTTTAAAACACTAACCCCCCTCCTTTCCCCTAACCCCGACCCTACACC